TTTATCATGTTTATCAGTTTTTGGTAGCTTATGAATAAATGGTATATCTTATTTTCATAAACAAGTATCCAGAAACCTAATTTATTTCTGGATTGGCTAGCCCCCTCTATGGCTTTATACTTTATACAAAATGCTTGGCATTGACTTACTTCTGATGCTGTTGACATAAAGTCTGGAGTAAAATTATTTTGTAGCTGCTAAGAAAAGGCATGCAATCTGATTAATTACACAGAGAAAGGTAGGATCAGGCATAGTTTTTAATTTTTAGAGTTCAGATTCTCCTGAATCTGAATGAGACTCAGAGTCTCAGTTTCAGATTCTGAAACTGAATTGCACAGACAACACATGGTCAAGAATATGGCAAACCTTCCAACTAATAAGTAATGGCTAGAATGTCACCGTGGAATATTAAATCTTTCATAATAGCAAAACAATATTAAATTCATGTAAGAACAGAATAATTAGTTTCCCTCAAAAAACTTTTGATAAGAATCAACTAATGTGATATATCTGGAAGAGGTTTCTAGTCAAACAAGGAACAGAGTGTCAAGAAAATAGAAATTTTAAATCAACCAGGACCTTACCATGTCAACAAATATTTGTGGAGAACACACAGCCAAGTACTGTGGGAGGCACTGAGGATATAAGGATGAACACACAACTTTTGTGCTTATACTACTTACAGTTGCTGGGAGACAGTTAAGTGCCAGCGAACACTCACACATGTGCACATATATAATTATAAATTTCGAAAATCTACAGGGTAAAAATGAAGAATGCTATAGGACAAGTATAACAAGGAGATCTAATTTAGACTGGAGGACCAGGAAAGTTCTTCCACAGGGTCTCATACATCTGACATGAACTATGAGAAGGAAATAATCAGGTGAAGAGTGGGGGGAAAGAGATGTTTCAATAGAGAAACACATGCGTGAAGTCCTGAGTTAGGAAGGTACGTAGGTTTTCTCCAGAACTGAATGAAAAACAATGTTATGGGAGCACAGTGAAGAAAAATGGCAAGCGACAAAGCCCAAGAAGTAGGCAGGGCCCTGACTGTGCAGCATTCTGTAGGCCATTATGGGCAAATGACCTGTGTAAACCATGACTGGATGACAGGATTTGCCTTAACATCAAATATGGAGTTAAGGATAATGATGTCTTTAGCAGGGCAAACAATTTCCTCTGATTCAAGAGGTCTTAAACAGGTTTCATTTGGGGAATTATAGTTTGACAATAGGATTGATTGTGAGTTATTTGAAGAAACAGCCTTCTAACCTGGTATCCTCTGGTCCTCTTTAGGTGTAGGTCTTGAATATGTAGCTATGAGTTTACTTTCAGAGCTGAGCCTAGGTAAGGCAGCAATGCACATGTGTTGAGCCATACACTATCAGGCCCATGACACACACTCTCTCTTCTCATCCTCGCAACCATCCTATGACCTGGATATTTTATCTCCGTTCTGTAGATGAGGACATTGACTCATAGGGAAGGTAGCAAATTTCCACTACCTTGGAAGATGTGCCTTGGAACAGGTGATTCAAATCTGGGTCTCCTAGGTTTGTATAGTAATTCTTCACAGGCCACAACTCTAGGGGTGTACTTGCTACTGGATCTCCTGAAATGGGAATAAAAAAGGTCTTTGTAGATGCCAGTACCCTCCATGCCCTCCATTTTGTTCATAAATTCAGGCACTCAAGCATTTAAGCATTTTCTTAATAAGCGTTTATTTTTTTTTTAAGATTTTATTTATTTATTTGACAGAGAGAAATCACAAGTAGGCAGAGAGGCAGGCAGAGAGAGAGGAGGAAGCAGGCTCCCTGCTGAGCAGAAAGCCCGATGTGGGGCTTGAACCCAGGACCTGGGATCATGACCTGAGCCGAAGGCAGCAGCTTAACCCACTGAGCCACCCAGGCGCCCCTTAATAAGCGTTTATTAAAGACTTAGTAAGACATCTGACATCACTGAGAAGAAGAAAAGATGAATGAGAAGAAAGAAGGGAGGGAGATAAATATAAATAAGACAGAGTCTGCCTTCAAGGAGCCTGTATTAGGAAAGCTAAGGCTAATATACACATAATCATGAAATAGTGGAGAATGTGTTAGGTCACAAGAGAAATATAAGCTAAGATTAATTCCTACTATGCCTCTCAAATACAGGTAGGATGTTGATGGCTAGAGAGGCAAGAGGAGAGCATTCTAAAACAGACAGTCATAATTTGGAGGGACGTTTCCTCTAAAGTCATTTCAGAACCTCTCTTCGCAGATTAATCAAGCTGATGGAGCATGGAGCACTTTGTTCTTAACAGGGACGAACGGTCAAACAAAACATATGCTATATGTGGCTGAAATGTATCCCTCGTATCCAAAAAATAAAATATATTTAGACATGTTTTAATACTTCCCTAGATAAGAGAGACTTCTATTTTCTCCATAAGGCTTGTTGTTTTAATTTCAGCTGTACAACTACCACTGCTGACTACAGGGGAGTTAGAAAGGAAGGACAGGAGGAAGCTCTGGATGGTGATTTGTTGTTGATCACTTAGGCATGCTATCCACGTCACCAGTAACTCTTCCTGGAAGCTTCCCGAAATTCCAGCAAATCCTCTCCGGTATAGGGTTAGGAGGGTGGAACATATGGGGAGAAACGCTATGGACTAAGTTGAATATGGTAAATTCCTAGGCTCTCAGTGTGATATCTTCTTTCTACCCCCTTCTCACTTATGTCGAAAAAGATTATGAAGACAGATTGAAGTGAGGGGAACTTTGTAGAAAACGTTTTGTTTTGAGGATGTAGTGCAGGAAGAGAAATGGGAAGTGGAAAAACTAGAATACAGAGGCTTTGAATGTCCGATTATGGAATTTAGACGTTCTGTGGCAGGTAATGTAGACAATCTCGGATCTTAAAATTTGTTGTTGTTTTTGTTTTTAGGATTTGTTTTTGTTTTTGTTTTTACATAACTAGATTCCTAGTTAGAGGAAATACCTTGAAATAGGGTAGTATTTTTTTTCCAATTATAGAAATCATTCTTATGCATACAAGATGTTAAGGGTTGTTTGTTTCATGTTGAACCTCTTTCAAGAGTTATTATATGGTCAGTCCATGGTTTCCCTGGATATGATTGTTATGATATTTTTAGGGGAGTCAATACCAAAATTAATTCCTAGAAAGTCAACAAAATTGCTATCCAGTCAACATTTGACATAGCCGAACAAACATTTACATATTCCAAATGTCCTTGCAATTGGAATTCATTCCTTTCTCAATCTCACAAAGGAAATACTCTCTCCTGATGTTTCCCTTGATATGTAAGGTCAAGGAATAAATTTTCCTTATTTTTTTTGAAGATTTTATTTACTTATTTGACATAGACGCAGGACGAGAGAGGGATCACAAGTGGGAGTGGGTGAGGGAGAAGCAAGCTTCCCGTTGAGGGAAGCCTTTCAGCTTCCAAAAGCTGAAATGCACTATTAGTGAAATTGTTAACAGTCTTGAAAAAGCCCATTCTAGATGCTGTCTTCCATTTAGGTTTGCTCACTTTTCTCTCCTGGATTATGATAATATGGTTTTAATACCATTTCATCTAAAGTAATTCTATTTGTTGAGCAATTAACATTTCTGTTTTTCAAACCATTTTAAACCATCACATGCATATACTTAAAGTATTTTAATAAAATTATATTAACTCACAATTTTTTTCTTTGAGATGGCCTATAAAGCAATAGTCCTATCTAAAACGATAGAGGTGCAATTTTAAGAAATAAATTTGGAAACTATGTTACTTTTATCTTATTTTGAATTTCTAAGGGCATATTTTCATTATATAATGTCCTATAAAAATACTAATAGTAGTTCTCTATTATGGAATACCCACCTCTGCGAGGCACTGCTTTATAGAAAGTGTAATAAAGACCTCTGTGAGATAAATGGGACCACTCTGGACTAAACTGTGTTTCCCAAAAATTTGTGTGCTGAAGCCCTAACCCCCAGTGTGATTCTATTTTGAGATATAGCTTTTAGGAAGTTATTAAGGGTAAAAGATGTCATAGGGTAGGATCTTAATCCAATAAGATTGGTCAATGTTTAAGCGGAGAAGAGAGTGGTCTCTCTCTCTCTGCTTGTGATGTGCATGCCCTGAGGAAAGGCCGTGTGAGGCCAGGATACAGCAAGAGGGTGGCTGTCTATAAACCAGGAAGGAAGACCTCACCATGCTTCCAACCTCCAGAACCGTGAGAAAATAACTATCTGATGTTTAAGCTACCCAGTCTGTGGTATATTGGTATGCTGACTATTAAGTGACTGTCTCCATTTTGTGGACTAAGAAGCAGACAGAGCCACTGGTATTTGAACCTAAATATGTTTGACTATAAATCCCACTCTTTGGACTACCCTCTGAATTTTAAGCCAGCAAATAATGAATATAGATAGCCTTTTAAAACAATACCAAGCACTTCATCTGTTGTTGTTTCTTTGCATTTTAATTTTTACTAGGTTTATCAGATATCACAAAGTCAGTTGATTTTGTTCATTTCTATTCATTATCATCTGATTTTTGTCTTCTAGTAGGATGTTACTATTTGAGCTTTCAGAATTCCAGGTTAATATTTAAAAATGTAGCTAATCTTCTTGATATTGCAATCTTGAAAAAATCCAAGAAGATTTACTATTGCTGTATTTGCTTGTTGTAAAACATATTAAATACAAAAGATCCAGTTTTGTGCCTGAAACTAGTTGGCAGTGTCCCATTAAGCCATATTAAAATTAACTTCTATTAATTGGATTAGAAATTCAGTGAGAATGACAGCTGCTAGTGCCTTTTGCAGTTACTTTGTTTCTCTACAATCCATATGGCAGAAATCACATAATGCTTTTATCCCCATTGAAATAAACACTTGAGATAAAAAGGTTTAACTCAATGTGATCAGGGTACATGTATTTGTTTTTCTTTAATTAAAAAAGAGGGTTTTTTTTTAAAAAACGAACTTTTTTCCTCTCTTTTACAGGTTTTCACCAGCCATATTTTTATATCTGATTAGCATTGTTCCATCATTATGGCTTCTTGAAATGCACGATGAGACCCAGGTATGTCCCTTTGGAAAGTAGGAAAGTGGAATATTTATCAGTAAACTATTTTCATACTATAATTTATTTCAGAAATGCACTTCTCAAAGGAATTGGAGTTATCAAGAATTGAAAAAGAGGCCATTAGCAAAAGAAAGTGAATTCATGATCTATCAAAGCCAATAAAAATGTTACAGTTAAGAATTAAGATTATATAATTAACTAACAACTTACGTTAAAGATCTTGTTCTTAAGCACTCCTGACCTCAAATATGCTAGAGTTTTTTACATGGGGTACGGGAGGGTTGTGTGTAAAAATTTGGTTTTAAACTTCACAGATTCAATGAATTCCTGTATTGTACTAAAAATGGGCAGGGCTCAATAATCTAGCATCCTATAAAATAAAAGTAGCAGAAATTAAAAAGAAACCCCATTGTCTAGACTCTGCTATGTAAATGCAATGAAACTTGGAGGGGCTACTAAAAACAGTCTGTCTTAAAATACAGGCCTTACAGATTACAAAAGATTCCTTTTTGAGGGTCCCATGAGCTGTTTTAGTGAAATAGGTATTCTACTCTGGAGCCAGATAAGAAGAATTAAAAAGAGGAGTATGAGATCTACCATTGGGAGAGGTGTGCTACATGTATAAGGACTGACTTAAAAAATAAACAATGGCTTTCAATGAGAGTCCCTAATCTATACAGAGAGAAAGAGCTACTGATTTTTAAGTGAGTTTCTTCTTAGATGGGCAGCCCCAGGTATCAGGATCTGGATTAGATTCACAATCTATTGCTATCAATGCTCCTGTGCCACACTGCAAAAGGCAGACTCCAGCAGATGCCAGCCTGGACTTCACATCTTCTGGGTCAGGTTATAGGGCTATGTTATAGATAAGCTGTAGTTATGATATAATATTATTATAGTACTTTCACTGATATAATGCAGTATTCAAGATAAGAATTTGCCCCTATACAGATTTCTTTGTTGCAGTTGGTCATTTTATAGTAAAGTTAAGCCTCTGATGTATGTTTCAGATATCCAAACGTTGTCTGGAAAATGCTTGCTCCAAATTTTAGGCACACACAGGGGAATTTAGCTCTGTGGACTATTTCTGAAGAATTCCACAAGCACATACCAATAAAATAAGCATGAGGAAAACATTTATCTGCTTTAAATCCCCTGTTTAAAAATATTAAAGTCAGAGGCTATCTCTATGACTGTAGCAAAATATTTTTATAGCACTAGATTGGCTGGTTCAAGTTATCATGGTTTTTAAAAACCATACCATAAGGAGTTAGGGGACTGTTTCAATTTCCTTACTACTTACTACTTTCAGGGGGATGGAAATAAGCTCTGGTGATTTGAATCATTTCTTTCTTTCACATCCAATTCTATAACATGACTATCATCCACAATAACAATTCATTTCCCCAAATGCTTTTATAATATAAATGTGTCGCACAGTTAATTGATATACAGGTCAAATCCCATTACAACAAATAGCATGCAACCAAAAGCTTTCTTTTTAATAAAAAAAGATTTTTGAGCCCCAGGCAGTACCTCTCTAATTTTCATACTACAAAAGAAATTGGACCTTTAGTAGTAATGGATTTGACTCATTTTGACACTAAGAATTAAAATGAATGCCCAAAGATTGAATTGGGCAGGGTGGGCAGAGATGGAAGTAGAAAAAAGTAAGCGTAAGGGAGACAAAACAGTATTGGAATTGCATTTAAAGAAATGAAAAATGGCAGAATAAAGAAAGGTACAGCAATTCTCTTAGTCCATTCATTTAAAAAAATTTGGTTGTGATAATAACCAATTTTCTTTATGTAGTCCTTTCTTTCAAAGTATTTTCAAATGCATTTTCTCCTTTATGAACTCATCAACTCCATGAGTTAGGCATGTTATATATATTTCTACTTTACAGAGGAGGACGCCAAGACAGAAACGTTTTTCTCAAGGTCACACAGCTAATCAATAACAGTCCTGGGGCTTAGCACCTAGGTCTTAACACCCACTCTGTTAAACCACACTGCCTTTCTCAGTTTTGTGTTCTATGTTTTAGAGGAGTTATCAAAATTACCTGATTTTTTTTCATGACAGATTAGTGATTTAATTTCTTTTCACATTTTCCATGTATTCTACATCCTAAACGTTCTAACCTATGTCTTGGCATTAGGAAAACATCCTGACCTATCTCATGAAGACATTCCTACGAGGTGATCAGTTCTGTACCTTCATTTCTGCATCTGCCTAGGTCCACATGACTAGAAACAACATGATTATGACAACAGTTATGACCATAATTCTTAGGTCTATTTATGAAGTGGCAGAATTAAAGCAATGGAGACTTTCTGGTCTTGATGGGGTTAGGGTCTGGTTTGACCCAAAGGAATATTCTTGAAGCAATAAGAGTTTTTAAGACCCATGAAAAAGTGGCTCGTTTGTACCCAGATCATCTAAATGAACTCACCTATACAATGCTAAATGGAAATAATATTACCATAAAAACAATACAAGCCAGGTTAGGTTGTAGGAAGCAAACCAGTTGATCTTTACAGTCCCAAGCAGCTGTCATTTAAAGGAAAAATTTCATCAATTTGTAACAAGTAGAATTACAAGAATGGAATGGGACTCAGGTTGCAATATCATAATATGGACTACAAGCTATTGGCCACTACAGGGCAGATGAAGTTTTTTTTTTTTTTTTTGTAATAATCGGATGTCTATGGATTTTGGTGCTAAGGATGAAAAAAAAACAAATCAAGGTCACCACTTTAATAAATAGATTTCATGCCTATGGAATAAAGTGGTCAAAATTATTTCCTCTTGCCCTTTTGATTCTCACAAAGCTACTCTGCAATGAGGATTTGTTGCTTGGTTCAAAGATTTAATTTTTTATCTTCATTATCTTTCCTTGGAGTCTTAGCTGCACAGAAAATAAAAGTGTGCAAACAGCTAGATTTTTGCTCCTAGAGATATGGCACATGGCCATCTTTCCTAAGTATTCCTGTCATTTCACCCATAACACTAGTTGTTTTGATGGGGAGTAGAAAAAAATAGCTTCTTGACAGACTTTCTTTTATTTTTTTAAGTAGCTTATAGATTGATTGATGTAGTATCTAGACTAATTAAGAAAAATACACTTCTTACAGCATTAGCATTTAAAAAAAATACTTTCTAAGTCCAAATATGTGAGTGTGGTTATGCGGTGGTGATGATGATGGTAGTGAAGTGTGTATATGTATGTGTGTGTTTCAAAAGTACATTAGCCTTGCAGGTGTTTGAAAAAAATCAATTTTTTTAAACTTTTTTTTTTAATTTGTGAAATAATCATTAGCTACACTTATATTTTCAAGTACCACTCTTTTTCTCTCTTACATATTTTTTCTCTCCCTCAGATTCCTAGCATCTGGATAAAAATCATGCACAGTTAACTTGTAGAAATTTACATGCAAAATGAAGGAACAAAAAGGGAAAAACATCAAGTTTGGGTCTTTGTCAAAGTTTCCATAAACCTAAGTTGACCTCCAAACTGACACTAAAATACATATTTTAATAGAGGAACATGTTAATTTTTTTGGTTGTCTCAGTGTTTAACAGGCAAGATTGAAAATAATTGGATTACCTGCTTAAACAAATGTTATTTTAGATAAATATCCTTCTGGACAAGAAATAAACTCTTAGAATGGATGTTTTGACCAGATCATACATGTTTTCATGTTGTCATTATTGATTTGTTTGTTCTACAACTGGTCCAGGTTTCAAAAAAGGAACCCCAGTTATTACTCTGTGAATTGTACAGCTCTCAAATACCAACAGCGTTTTTCACAGAACCAAAACCAACAATCCTAAAATTTGCATGGAACCAAAGACTCTAAATAGGCTAAGCAATCTTGAAAAAGGAAAGTAAAGCTGGAGGCATTACAATTCCAGACTTCATGTTATATTACAGAACTGTAGTAATCAGAACAGTATGTTACTGGAACAAAACAGGATACATAGATCAATAGAACAGAATAGAAAACCCATAAGTAAACCCATAATTATATCATCAGTTAATCTTCAACAAAACAGGAAATAATATCCAATAGGAAAAAGCAGTCTCTTCAACACCTGGTGTTGGGAAAACTGAATAGTAACTTACAGAAGGAGGAAACTGGACCATTTTCTCACATCATACACAAAAACAAATTCGAAATGGAGTAAAGACCTAAATATGAGACCTGAAACCATTAAATCCTACAACAGTCACTAAATTCTTTGACATCAGCCATAGCAACTTTTTCTAGTTATGTCTCCTAAGGCAAGGGAAACAGAAACAGAAACAAAAATAAACTATTGGGATTACATCAAAATAAAAAGGTCTGCACAGTGAAGGATACAATCAATAAACTTAAAAGCCAGTGTATGGACTGGATGGAGATATTTGCAAATGACATATCTGTTAAAGGGTTAGTATCCAAAATATATGAAGAACTTAGAAAATTCAATACCCAAAAAACAAATATTCCAATTAAAAAAAATGGATAGCAAAATGACAGGACAATTTCATTTGCATTTTAAGAAGGAATCCTAAATGGCACGTATTTTAGCACCAGACCTAAATGTCTTATTCATTATAATCTGTAGTCAATCATTGGAAACAAAGCCTCAGAGTACAGTCCAAATGCAGTCATTAAGTACTAACTATGAAAGTTAAGAGGAATTCAGTGACTGCACATTTAGATAATTGCTTTAAAATGCATTGGATCGGGGTGCCTAGGTGGCTCAGTCAGTTAAGTGATCGACTCTTGATTTTGGCTCAGTGAATGATCTCAGGGTCTTGAGATCAAGCCCCACGTCAGGCTCCATGCTGAGCCTCCTGGAGCCTGCTTAGGATTCCCTCTTCCTCTCCCAGTGCCCCTTCCCCACTCTGCTCACATAAGCTATCTAAGACGATAGATAGATGATAGATAGACAGATGGATAGATAGATAGAGAAATAAATAAAAATACATTGGATAGCATAAAGAAAGTGAATGATATACCCATAGTTCTTAATTCTCAGCTGAAGAAATACATTGCCCCCAATTATCCATGAGGGATCAGTTCTAAGTTTCCCCAGTGGATGCCTAAAGATGTGTATAGTATCAAAGTCAATATACACTGTTTTTTCCTATATGTCTATACTTATGATAAAGTTTAATTTATAAATTAAGCATAGCAAGAGATTAACAATAGCTAATAATAAAATAGAACAGTTAAATAATGTACTATAATAAAAGTTATGTGAATATGGAAAAAGAAATGGGTATAAGACATAAACAGACATTTCTCCAAAAAAGACATCCAGATAGCCAATAGATCTATGAAAAGATGTTCATCATCACTTGCCATCAGGGGATTACAGATCAAAACTACAATGAGGTATCACCTCACACCTATCAGAAGGGCTAAAATCAACAACACAAGAAACAACGGGTGTTGGTGAGGATGTGGAGAGAAAGGAACCACTGTGCACTGTTGATGGGAATGCAAACTGGTACAGCCAATGTAAAAAGCAGTATGGAACCTCCTCAAAAAGTTAGAAATAGATCTACCTTATGATCCAGCAATTGCACTACTGGGTATTTACCCAAAGAATTTAAAAAACACTAATTCAAAGGGATACATACACCCCTATATTTATAGCAGTATTATTTACAATAGCCAAGATATGGAAGCAGCCCAAAGCATCCACTGACAGAACAGAT